ATGGTTCCAAGAGCCGAAGGCAAAATCGATAGTAGATCGCGATGAGCCTCTTTCGAAGGAATGACCTTCACTGGGTTTAATAACTATATGATTGTGTCTAGCTATTAGGTTGGTAAATATATTACCGCGAGTGTCGGTAATTTTACTGCCCCATAAAGATGACTTTGCATTAAAGTCACCTATAAAGATAATATTTTTATTCTTATTTGCACTAATAATTTTGTGTATTTCATTGCAGTATTCCGTGACCATTTATGCATTGGCATTAGGTGATATGTATCCGGAACAAAGCACCCAATCGGCATATTCAATCGCTATGAGGCCTTTAGATGAGTGAATCAGTGTGATATTGGGAATATATGTGCATGATAGAGGGACGATAGCAGACAGTTTATCGGTACAGGTAAATTGTGTAGAAAAATAATCAATATTTGATTTGTATATTTCCGAAATTGATAGTATGTCCGCATTATAATCCTCAGTTATACTGCTAAGGATTTGTTGTGCAAATTTACAGTGGTTTACATTTAAGTGTAATATTTTCATAAAAAGAAATATGGATAGATGCGTTTTACTTGAGATATAGATTCTCTTTTTTTTTATTGTAATATTCCTTAAATTGGGGACATTTATATGCTCCGGTGATATGATCACGCATTTAGAGGGCCACACCTTTCTCTCTACACAGCCTGCAGTCAGTGTTTGCAGTGCAGTTTTCAATAACATGGTCTTCACTACCGCATTTTTTACCAATGACATTTTTGAACTAGCATTTTATACCAATATGTCTAGGTCCGTGACATTTACAGCATATCGTGATATTAGACAAGAATGCTATTTTTGGTTTGACAAAACTATCTTGAGGTGCAAGTTATTCTCCAATTTTTTTTTGTAGGATGCGGACAGAACGATAATAGCGTTTTGAGCATCGGCAAAGGTCTTACGAAGGGATTTGAAAAACATCCTCTGTTTTAATCTGGAGGGAAGTTTTTAGCTCGTCAAGAATTTCGTCCTTCGTTATAAAGGGATCAAGGCCCTTCAACTCCACGTTCATGGATGGCTGTTTTATTTTAACTTGCGCTTTATTATTGAGAACTTGTTGTATTTTTGAGGTTGTTTCGGTGGCGTCATTGCCCTTATTGAGTTTCAATAATAAGTGGCCTCTCAGTAACCTGAGCTTGTATCGATACTTTTTTATTAAATCTTTTAGGGGTAATTTGGGTTGAAGAATCCATAAGTTTCCTATTACTTTCTTTTAGTTTTCTCGTCTCCGTTTCGAGGAGGTATAGCCTTTGAGCGCTACTATTAATTTAAAAAACTGCATATATTTCGTTCATTATACTTTTAACTTGATTTCTTATTACTGTTTTAACGCCTCTAGAGGTTAATTCACTGCCTATATTTCGTAGTTCTTTGTAGATGTTTGAAAGTCTAATAGCTATTTCATTGTAGCTTTCTTCAGGATGGTGCTTCAGTATCCGTCTGTGTGTCAGAAGGAGGGACTTGGCTAGAGTCCATTCCTTGTTTTATTTCTATACTGTCTATTTCAATTAAATTAGGTAGTAAATTATAGGTGCCTTCTATTACATGGTCTTCACCCTCAGGGAGGATGATCTTATTTTTTTACCCTTATTTCTGGGTGACTTAGTCTTCGTATTTGAGGGAGAGGTTTGTGACTCTTCAGAGTCCTGCCAGCTTGTGCTAGTGTGTTTGTCGTCATCAGTTAATCCAATCCGTTTGTGTTTTTGGTTTTGATTTATCATTCATGGCTGCCAGGGCCTGTCTGTTATGGTGGGAATTATACGTCCAGTCGTGCAGAGCCCCTTTGCACGACTAAGGCACCGAAAGAGTTTTTTACCCCCTCTGCTGTAGCCAGAGGCTGAGGGGGGGATCGTTTGCGATCGCGTTTTGTGTGTGTATGTGTGAATGTAGATACGGTGCGTTACACTGGTAACACGTCTGGAACCGTGTATGCCGAGCGCGCGTGCATGCGTGCGTGCGTGTGTGTGTGTGTCCCAGCGCGACGCGGCTATTCATCCCATCGGCACGACGCCTCCATCTTAGGATTGTCGCGCTGGGCGCCACTTGCGACGTTAGCAGTCCTCCGCGCATCCACCTAGTTAGTTAGTTAGTTAGTATCACGTTTCTCCCGGGAGAGGGGAAGTGCGATTTCCCCCCCAAGGCCCAGCTGTGGCTGCTAGTGCCGGTAGCTTTCACACAGCCCCCGCCACAATAGCCGGGACTGCGGTGGGCGTTACCCGGGGAGGCAATTTCCCCCGGCTTTCCAACCCGACCAACTTTTTTGGGCCCGGGCCACATGGAGGCGAGGAAGTACTCGCCTGGGGGGCGGAGAGTCACTAGGATCGTCCCTTCCCTACCTGAATGAGTATCTATGGAATATGGTCGTCGGGGCAACCGATCCTTCGTCTCCAAAGTGAGTACCGGCTCACTCTTAGCTTCACCCACAGACCGAGTCTGTACCAAGGGTGGAATCATCGTGCTTGCGTACGTTCCATCATCGAGAGAGAGCTGTGTCGCCTGTTTCAACCCCCTATTATACTACCTACCTATGTCCCGAATATTTCAGGAGCCCCCCCTCCTCTGGTACCCCTCACAAATCTACCACCCCCCTCAAGGACAGGGAGAGAGTCCCGGGACTCCGATAGAGATACATGGGGAGGCCGTTCTAGCCGACCTCAAGGAGAGACGTGGTCGGGTTCGGCGATCACCTCCCCTGGGAGCCGCGGTGGACCATAAATGAATCCACCGCCAGTGTGAAGCTAGTCTAAAATTATAGCTGGGTATGTGAATTTACTAGAATGGAAAACAAGGTAGAGTAGATCGCGCCCTCCCCCCACCCTAGAGTCTGCAAGGAACGCGACGCGAGACGATGGCCCACCGGACTTCGCCGAAATTTCTCCGAAGAGGAAATATCAG